TCCAACAATACATCCATCCATCAACACATCTAACACCAACCAAACGATAAAGCGCTTCATAAAACACTTATTGATAGTAAAAGCAAAGCTTCCGTATGGAAAACATATAATATCAATTCAGATTATTCCACTAATACAGTTAATAAATTCTAGTTTCAATGCTGAAACTTCACTACAATAGGTAATTCTTCGGATGGTCAAACTCTTTCGAGGAATCATTTCCCGTATACACAATACGGCAACTGAAAAAAACCTTTGCAGTCTGAATGCATTAAAATTCACACTGGGATGATACTGCCACAACGTAATACGCGCATGCGGTTGAATGAAATACATTGTGTGCTATTGCAATACAAATGACAACGCAATGTAAATGAATATTAGCCTTCTTATATATTAAAGTGAATGAATCCATAGCCTTCTTCTTACATATTAAAGTGTTCTATCATGTGCTTATTAGAGCAGTTCAGTTTTTATATGTAATCGAATATTTCTAATAGATATTCATCAGAAAATGCCGGAATATTCTTTGGAATTTTTTTCAGATTCCCCATGGTTTCTCCTTATTTCGAATGAATTAAGCGATTTGTGTGTTTGATATCTATCTAGAGAGTAGATCGTCGTTTTAAAATATTACTCGATTTCAGACTATAGCTGATGATGTCTCAGCAACAAGAACAACAGCAGCACCAGCAATTGATAAAGTTGCCGTATGGCAACAAACGATCCGTGGATTTATTGAATAATCTGGACAGACGTAAATTCATTCAGTTGTCTCATCGAATATTCGACGCCATGCCAATTGATGAAACACATTCGCTGTTCACTGAAGATGAACGAAAAAAACTGATATCAGCATTTGGCTTGGAAACCTCCACCGATCTGAACCAATTGGTCAGATTCTTTACACTTACTTCTAACGAGAACTGATTCGTTTTCAAGCATTATTTTGCCGAAAATCTTCTCAAAAAGTGAAATTTTTAGTTAAATTTTCAAAAATTTCAGACTGATTTTTTGGTGATTTCAGATATCCACTTGTGTTGAGCTATGGCGACAGATTGCCTATCATCAGCCGAAACCCGAAACGTTGAAGGCGAATCTTCATGAGGTTCGTAAAGAATCCACATCTTTGTCGATGTTCGCCTTCAAGGAATTCTCAGCGATTCGATCGTGTTTTCTGTGGTTTTGAAGAAATCTCGATTCGTCCATTCAGATACTATCAACACTGTTGAACATTCATTTGATTTTCCTTAGTACTTTTCATACCTTGTACACAAAATAATTGCTGCCGTCTGATTTCAGTTGGGTTTTGTGAATGATCTCACTGATGTGTTCGTTCAAGTTTGGACGGATCGAGGTGGAGCCGTTTCAGATCGTCTTCGTGGAATCTCGTTTTCTGGTAGACCGCAGCTTATCGATGTGAATTGGACTCTACGAATGGATGTTGCAAGGTGATAGTCTTATGGCGAAATGTTCTCTGTAATGATTTTTAAAAGGAATAGCCAAAAATTTACTAAATGTCAAAAATCATATTGAAAAATTGCAGTATTCAACATATATCAGTTATATCAGTTATATCAGTTAACATCAGTTATAATTTCAAAGATATCTGCATTGTTTCAGTTTCAGTAATATAAAGCAATTGATATAGTTGCCGTATGGTGCCACACGAGCAGTTGATGCAAATGGGTCACGCTATTAATATTTTTGAAATCATGTATTTTCAGTCGAGACTCACCAAAAATGCGTGAACCAAAGGTGGTTCTCGAGTTGCTCACAGACCAAGGTCCTAAGCTAGCTGAGATGTCGCCAAACGAGTTGGCCGAATTGTTCAAAACACTCCAACAAGTACAAGAAAGCATCGATAATCTCATGCAATAAGCCGCGAATGTTTCCAAATTCCTTGATAAGATTCCTGCATCATCTTGCGAACAGATTCTGTTATTGTACTGCTGTGATTATTCTTATGGAGTGTGTGATATAATGGATTGTGTAATTTATGTGATGAATTCTATCATGTAATTGATCTGATTTTGCCGAATCTGTATTCATTTACGCTGATGTCCTCATGTGTCATTTTTGTACATAGAAATGTTTCTCCGAATAAAAATTTTCATGCATTACTGTCGTTGTCTGCATCAAAGTGAATGAAAAGTGTTGCCTTCAAAGTTATTAATCATTGAGGATTTTCACATTAACAATGCTGAAATCTGCTGTGAGCAAACGAGGCTCGATCATTTCATATTAATAAAGCAGCTCATTATACCGTAGTCGTAATTATGCAACAGTATTTGCAGTAGATCTTGAAATGAATTGCAATCACAGTCTCAATCATCACAACCCAAAAAATCTCTCTTCTAGCTCAGTAATACAGATTCTGATGTTCTTGTCCTAATTTACTAACTATAAGTCAAACATAATTTTACGGAACATTGGTATCATCTCAGTGATAGTATTTCACACACTCATTGTACATAATGTTAAAAAACAAATCCTAGAAACACGCACACCCAGATAACATTAGCACACCATGAACATCTTCAGAAATACCACCTTAACAAACTGACTGAATCAAACGTTTTAAAATAATTTCAAAACAACGCGTTAGAAAAAGCGGAAACGTGCAATGCACCACTTCAGTATAAGACTTCATATATTCTGATAATCACTCCAATATAAGACTCCAAATATTCCGATAATCACTCCAATATAAGACTCAAAATATTCCGATAATCACTCCAATATAAGACTCCAAGTATTCTACGTATGCCTGAGCATACGCAGAATATTGGAAAAACGCATAGCATTTGGACATATCTCCGAACAGTACGCTTGTAAATACTTGTACGTGTGCAATTCATAGTTGAAATTCGTTGGAAACATTCGTGCAAATAAAAATCTGCAAATGTTGTGAATCTTAACAGAACAATGAAAATGCAATCGAAATCGCTATGTGCCTCATAAAATTAACCTCTAATAGAATATTCCGAAAAATGTATGAAAAATTCATGCATTATGCAGGATATGAAGTAATTCAATTGAATATAAATGTTGCTTAACCAACAAATTAATATTGTACGTGTGTCTGAACCTGAGAAGGGGTCGATTGACCTCAAGCTTGAATTTCAAGGTTTTAGTTAGTTTCATTGGAGATCGTTTCCGTTGAGATGATTGATCTTGAGAAGTAGATTAACTGAGATTCCAGTTCAATGAGCGAGAAGACTTGTTCTATTATGAGCT